CCTTCAAAAAGTTGACGACTCTACATGTTTTGACGTTACATGTAGAGTCATCAACATTTTGAAGGCCATAGATAGGCCTAAATTAAATGTTTTTAATTGTGTACCAGTTTAACGTGGAATATTATTTATGATTTTTTAGTCTTAACAGTATTTGAGCTGAGTTGTGAAAAATGGTTTCTCAGTTTTCTAATGCTCGTAAAACAAATTATCATTAACTTTGATGCTATAATTTATATAAGAGTATTTTTTTTTGTATATATAATTATGTAGAGTATCTGGGAGCAAATAAGTAAGTCTAGGGTAACAATATCACACTTGTTTCATTTACGTGTATGTGGTCAGTTAAAAAGATTTTAACTGTCATCCACTATAACTGTTATGAAGATATTATCAAGTAATATGGTTTTTTTAAAGTGATTTTTAAGCACGAGCCCATAATATTAAAAATTGTTGAAATAGTTTTGTTCTTAGAACTCTGAATATTGTAGAATTATGAATAATGTGTATATAAAGAAAAAAGATTTTTTTTACAAGTAAAACGTAAGGAAATGCATGAAGGCTTACAACTGGTGAGTGCTGTAAATGGTTTTTTAAGGACATTTTTGGGGGGAAATCTGTTTTGAATGTGTAGAAAACATAAAATATTGAAATTAATTTCTATAATGATTTGGAGTTGTTCATTCTTAGTTTCTACCTTGTGATTATAATTCTTAATTTAATGTTTCCAGTTAAACATCATGTATCTTAAAGCATGAAATAAATACATCTTTAAATAAAAAACATTAACTGCTATAGTTAAACAGTCATTATAGAATCTGTTGAAATAAAGAGAAGAGAGAGAGTGAAAAGAAAGTGTGGAAAAGTAAACTGTCCCAAGAGAATGGTTTAAGGTATTTTAAATTTTACTCAGTGTAATCAATGAATATATGAGAAAATATTTTAATGATATGTGTGCTAAAGAAAATGGCCTCAAAGTAAGAAATTGCTTTATACATATCTTAAAAACAAATCTTATTTACTGTAAAATCTGTAAATTGGAATAAAATATACTTAATCAGTAAGTAAACTTAAAATTGTTTATTTAAAATATATGCATGTATCTAGTGGTGGTAAAGGGCCATAATTGAATTTAAGGAAGAGCAGTTTGTGCGATTGGACTTGTGGGATCAAGTTGATGGGAAAAAGCTTTTGGAATGGGCTGTTTGAATAGGGTAGGGAATTGCTCATTTGCAAGGGCATTTATCTCACGTACATGGGTGACTTTAAACTACAACTAGACAGTTGTGAG